CTATTATCCTTTAAATTGGATGTAAACTATTACTCTATTTCTCAGTATGTTTGCTATCATGCCTCACTGTGCACAGTTTAAACCAATAGATGTTTGTTAATCTGTTGCAGGCTTTTTACCTGGAGATCTCATCGGATAGGCAGTCCAGCTGCCAATGGTACAGTAGGGATGCACAAGGCAGGCTGACAACACTGCTGTCAGTTACAAGGTAGTGGTTTAGCACTGTCAGCAAGCAACAGGAAGTGCTACTACTGGCAGAATCTCCAGTAGAGACTGAAAAAAAACTATGTGCCTAAAGCTGAATTTGAGTTACATTTTCGGGGATATAGCACCAGTCACATAAGGTACCTCTAATAAAGTATATCCTATGCCCTGCTGGTTGCTGGTTTCTGTAAAAACCCTTCATCTGTAACAGTAAAATATTAGCACTTCTTGCCCTGCCCTTCAAAACACCCTAGTAGCATTATCACAAAATGCAAGGCGTTCTGTGAATGGGCGAAGGGTGTATAAATGACAGGATCCCCTTCCTCCATTTACAGAACCCCTTGCATTCTGGAAAAATAATACTAGGAGTTCTGTGCATAGGCAAGGGGGAAGGAAGGAGAGGGCAATCGTTCACTGTTACAGACCAGGCAATTAGTCCATGCAGTGCCAGAAGTTCACTGCTGTGAGGAGGATGAAGCATCACTGAAGGGAGGATTTTTACATTAACCAGCAGGACATTGGATACACTTCATTGGAGGAAAATTATGTGACTGGTGCTGTATCCACAAAAACATTTTTTACTTAACCTCAGCTTTAAGAATACTGTATACAGTGAGGCATGATGAAAAATAATAATGTTTACATACGCTTAAAGAAGAACTGTGGGCAGAACTATCCTTAACCCTTGACGTGGGGCTACCCACACACTGCAAGGGCGAAGTGTTCCTTTTTGTCTAGGGTTTAAAATAGAACAAGTTATACTCCCCTGACCGGTCCCTGTAGCCTCACTCCCCCTCCTCTCCGGCGGTCTAAGGTCCGAAGTTCATTGGCTGCATACTTCAGTTCATTAGCTCTCTGGGTAGTGATGCAAGGATCAGGAAGACATATACAGAATCTTCTCTTTTTAAAAGAAGTCAGTAGGGATGCACTGATACTAGTGTTGGTTTCCTTGCCAATGCAGAGTATTTGGGCTAGTATGAGTAATCACCCAAATGCTCCGATGCCTAGCCCGATACTTCCGGTATCAGTAAGCCGGGCAGCGAGTCATTACACGCTGCCTGGCTTCCTGTTTGGCTGGGAAGTCGGCTCCCTCCTCACTTGTGACGAGAGAGCATGGCCAATCAGGAAGCCGGGCGCAGTGTAATGATGCGGCGGCCGGCTTTCTGATTGGCTGGGAGGTCGGCTTCATGCTTCCTCATCACTTCATGACGAGGGATCATGGAGCCGACTGCCCGGCCATTGGCCAGAAAGATTGACTAGAAGACTGATTGGCCAGAAAGCTGGCTCCATGCTTTCTCCTCACCTAGTGAAGGGAAGCGTGGAGACTGCTTCACTGCTAATCGGGAAGCCGGGTGGTGAGTCTTTACACGCCCCCCCCGGCTTCCTAGCTAATCAGGAAGCCAGGTGGCGAGCCATTACACGACGCCTGGCTTCCTTAATGGGACTTCCGGTATCGGTATTCGGTATCGGCGAGTACTGGAAAAAAAATATTGGTACTCAATACCGAAAAAACAGTATCGGTGCAACCCCAGAAGTCAGTAGTGATAATTGCACAACGGCTTGGTGATTGGCATTTCGGCCCTGCAGCAATGGGGTCCTTGGTTTGAATCTCCACCAGAAGACTACCTGCATGGAGTTTGCATGTTCTCCCTGTGCTTATGTAGGTTCCCTATCACACTCCAAAGGCATGCTGCTAGTTTAATGGACTCCTGTCTAAATTATCCATAGTATGTACAGTACGTATGTATGTGAGATAGGGACCCTTGATTGTAAGCTCCTTGAGGGCAGGGACTGATGTGAATGTACGATATTCATAAATTGTCAGCACTATATAAATACCTGTAATAAATAATAAAAAAAAAACAGTACCCTAACAATGAATAAATATACATACTCAGTGCCTAAAGTAAATGTAGACAGTAATTATTCTGGCACTGCTGAGGTTTGTGTTCAAATCCTACCAGGGCACTTTGAATATTGCCCTGATGTCTGCTTGCATTACCCTTGGATGCTCCGATGTGCTCCCACAATCCACTGTGATTCTGAAACTGTTGGAGTAGTGAATGTTATGCATAGTTCAATGTACTTTGTAAAGTGCATCCTAATTTGTAGGAGCTATATAAAAAAAAAAAAAAAAGAAGCAATAGTATAAAAATCACACAGTAACCATAGGCCTCTAATGGTGTAGATAAGTACAGACACGTAGAACATTTATAGGTTTGGTGGGTCGAAGAGTAGACAAAAAAGTGTCCAGCTGTTACCCCCATTGTATATAGTGGGGGTCAGGGGTGTGTGTTGTCCGTATAATGTCTGTATATGAGGAACAAGTGAGAGGTGTATCTCTGCTGTGATGTGCCTGTGTTGTGTGTGTCTTTGTGTGGGGGAGCGGGTCATCTGCCTTTGTGTGTGTGTGAACTGACAGAAGGGGGGCATATGGATAATTTTCACATTGCCTGAAAGTCTCAGCTGAATAATTCCCTATGGCTAATTACGCACCGGTCGGTTCTAACACCTGCTTCTCCTTCCAAAATAAATGGAAAAAAAAAATCCCCTTCTAAATTTCAAGCCTGCCCATACACAATTCCCCCCCATCACCAAGCCCTTGAAGATCTGAGCTGGGGCTATTGTTCCCCTGTATGACGGATGGTAATACGCAAGCATGCACGCTATCAGCGCTGTCACAATGAAAATTTACTCCTTCGCTGCCGGACTCTTGCACAATTATTACAGCCATTGAGCACACTTGCCTGTAGCATCTTCTAATCAGATCCCTCACTTTGAGCTATACACTGGAACAGGTTTAAATTATACACTCCATAACCTGCACTTTGTAAAACAGAGATAACAATTAGTATAGGACTGTCCATGCACAAAGGGCAATTAAGAAGTGTATATAGCTGACACTGGTGAGAGGTGGGTGAAAGGTCACCCATACATCAAGTGTTCATGCCTTTATTAAAAATGGAGACATTCCTCATATTAGACCTGAGCGAGGTCAATCGTAGCCTGACCTGACACTGCATAGCAAGTAGATCACTGGCCACTATGCATCTAATTAAACAATTTATCAGTAAGTTACATATTAAGGCCTTATTTAAACCGGAAGAGCAATGTACAAAATATAATAATCTACAAAAGCCCCCGCCAAAAAATTGAGTTTGATAGTTGTGACTGCTCTAGTCTGATGAAAGGTAGGATGGAATTGGTTGCTGTGGCGAACTGAAGCTCAGTGCTCCTATTAAATAAGCTGTCAGGTATAAGTGAGAGCTCCATTTTAATGTCATCATTTCACAGAGATTAGCCATAGAAAAGACTTGAGGTTTCAGGAACTTTGGGTGTCCAACTCTAGGGTGTCCAACTAGCAAGATGTAGCTCTCCTTCCAGTTTCACACCAGAGGACAGTGATGACCAAAGAAGATATGAAAATGGAGTGACCTAGGGAAGTAGTACTGTTTTCCCTGCTTTAGTAATTCCTCAAATACTTTTATACAATATTGGTCAGAATTGGCGATACAATTTTAGAGATGTCTCCTACATCCTGAGGTAGCTTGAAGTAAACTCTATTGCTGCCTACAAATATGATTCCACAGGAGCAGTATGCATAGGAAGGTAATAAATACTGTACACTGTGTGCACTTACAGTACATCACCGTCCCTGATGAGGTCAGCACCACTCCGGCCGCAAACAAAGACAGTTGTGACCTCGTCAAGTCTTAAGTACTACCGGCATAAGGTGCGAGGGCCTTGATTTTACCATAGACCTTACAATATGCATGGTGGGAAGGTCCTGTACAACACAGCTTATAATTCTCAAAGGCAATATAACTGTCTGTGCTTTACCCTCCTTTTGTGAGCATGACTTGCAAAGTGTACAATTAGTTATTATTCCACAAAATAATTTTCTTTGAAAAAACCGTCTATGAAATGTACGACTGAAACTTTAGGGCATATAACCAATATTTCTTTAAAAACTATGAAAATATAAGTATAACATCTGAGAACTAGGCTTTATCTAATAAAGTAATGAGCAAGGTGCACATTGAAATAACCCCTAACAACCAATCAGGACTCGTCTTTCAATGATCTATTTACAGTGAACTGTTATGTGATTGATTGTGGTGCTTTTCAGCACTTTGTACACGATCACTGCTCTTTACAATTCTTTATTAAATAAACCTCAGGATGCTCTTTACAGTCCCTTTTGAATGAGCCTCAGCATTTGTAAAGGCAGTGTCATCTTCACACAATAGCAAAGTTCACAATCAGCTGTTCTTGGGTATAGGCCATTAACATATGGCAGCTACAACCATACAACTGTACAAAGATTAAGCAGATACAATGACAGTGCATTTCTAGGTATATTTCCTGACTTCTGTTCCTAGTGTATCCCTCAACAAATTCTCCTACAACTTGCTAATATTGCTTGGTAACCGGTAAATCCTTTTTTTTTGTAAATGATTTGTGTCGGTGAGTGTCATTTGTTCATGACTTGCTTTGCTCTGTCCTCTCGTGACATCCAGGCAACACTGCTGTCCCTTATGATACAACCTATGAGAAGTTACTATATATCTTTTGATTAAATAAAGCTTGTATCCACCCCATTCCAGCCCTGGTGAAACCAGGCCCATAAGCCAATACCAGCTGTCCTGTCAGCCCAGCTTGTAGATTTTTGGCAATTTATTTAAAGCATCTCTCATCTCAAAGAAGACAATTTCAGATGACAGGTCCTCCTACAGGATTATGGCTAGCTCCCACCCAATCCTCCCTCCTACATCTTTGTTTCCGGCAGTACCCACCTGTCTGCCCCTTTCCCAGTGTCTTCTCAAGCCGGTATGGCCCAACATATTGCATGTGCGGCGTTCCACCACCATCTTTCCCAACCGTGGTCATCTTCTCCTCTCTCCTTCCACGGGGATCCAGATGCAAGGAAAATCCTCAAGAGAAAAGGGGGGAGGAGGGCTGTAGATGGAGAGGGAGGGGGGGATGGCTGTCTTTGCTTCTTCTCCCCCCCCTCTCTTGCTGGATAAACCTGTCCGTTCTTGTGACGCCCAATTGAGATCCCCTTACTCCTCACCATCAATAAAGACCTGCTTTCCTCTCGGCTTCTGTACCTTGTCTTCTCGTATGTCCTGTCTTGATGAAGGGCTCTGGAAACTGGATTCAATGAATGAAACAAAAAAGCAGAAACACACCCCAGTAAAAAAAAAAAAAAAAAAATCACCCCCCTCCTTTTATGCAAAGAAATACAGAATTCAGTACTGATAAAGGTTTAAGGTTGCTTTGGGGGAGGGAGGACAGGGTTGAGGTGCAGGGAGCATGGTGAGGATGCTGCCGTGTTACATACAAGCAGCTCAGCAGGGACCTGCTGATCAATCCTCACGCTCAGTGCTAGAGGTGGGGAGTAAAGGGGGGGCATGCAGCCCTCTGTAGCTGGGATGTTAGCCAGACTAGGATTGGTAGATGGAAAGCTGTTTTCTGGTTGGTGGCAGAAGGATGCATTTTAATTGGACTGAGGAGGGGGGTTACCTTGTGTGTAGGGATGTGGATTTGTGACTGTGGCTTGCAACATTGTATCTTATTATGTTTTGCAGACAATTTCTGTGCAATGTCATTTAAGCCACAATAAACTGAATGAAGCAGAACAAGTGTTGTATATTATAATCGTGTAGAAAAACAAAGCACGCTTTGTTTTATTGTCTGACACTGATGCTGATGCTTTAACTGTCTGGGGTTTTCTTTAATCACATACCATCCAAACAAAGCACAATTAGAGGGATTTCTACAAAGAGCAGTCTAAAAGTATAGACGGGAGCATGTTATGTTTAAACACTGCTAATTATCTGACTTTATATTATACTGTTAGCAGTAGATAATAACTGTATATCTTAAAATATACATGCCAGATATATTAGTAATCAAGGCTTTTATTTGATATATCAAGGCATTTATTTCATCTGATACATCACTGGGACTAACATTTTAAAGTATATGTACAACCCAATCGCTAAAATTTCATATATAAAAAACAACATGTTAATGTCTTTACGCATTGCTTATTAATGTTTTTAGTTTAGTTTATAATAGAATTATCCAACCATAAAGGTCCTGGATATGCAATATTAGTATTTCAGGCTATTATTTTATATGAATACACTGCAACCAATTTACTTAAACCGGAAAACTGTATACTTGCCTTATGGTAATTTTCCTTTCCTGGTTCAGCCAATGGCAGCATACCTATGGGATTAGGCTCTGCCCCTGTAACCTCACAATACTGGACATAAATGCATTTGTGAGTACAGCTGCAGCATTCATGTAACTATCACACCTTAACAGGTGGGTCTCTATACGCTACCTTTGGATGCCAGGGATGCCCAGGAAAGGAACACTACCATTAAGTTAGTATACAATTTTCTGTTTTCCTGGAGTATCATGGCAGCATTCCGATGGGACCTAAATATCACAACTTAGGAGGGTGCAGAAGAAAAAACACTCTTTATTTAACATGACAGACAAGCGTATGGGTATACAGCGTAAAATACTACTGTATTTGCAGCAAGCAGGAGCCCCAGCTGTTGCGTTTTTGTGCCTATGGGATTGTTCAGACACAATACACTGTATGCTTGTGAGCACACATGAACAGAAGCACCAACGTTTACACACGCTTGAACTGAACTAGCAGCATTTACATATGCACATGCAAGTTCTGCGTCCATACATGTGCAGGTGTAAACGATGACACTTGCGTTTACATGCGCATACCTGCGTACAGCAGTGTATTGTGTCCATCCAATCCTGTGGATACAAAGACACATTTTATGCTGTATGCCCATACACCTGTACTTGTATCCATAGGAATGAAATTTAGCAGCAGCAAGGTAGGCTGGATCTACTCTGCAGTGTGACATTACCATATGAATGGATGACTAGATTGCAGCACTATATTATACACTGAGTGGCCAGATTATTATGACCACCTGATGTTTGTAGGCAAATTAGCTATAATTTCGCGCTGAAGTTGCTAGAGGGCAAGACTATTATAAATAGGGAAGCAGGTTGTTTACCACGACAGTAGAAGTGATTTTTTTCTGAAGATATGGGTAAACAACGCGATTTAACAGCCTTTGAACGTGGGATGATTGTTGGTGCTCGGAGCCATGGAGCGAGTATCAGCAAAACAGCAGAATTCGTTAAACGTTCAAGAGCAGCTGTTGTTAAAGTGTTTAAAGACTGGACTGTCAGCCGAAAATTTGGGTCTGAACGTGCGAATTGTGACCGTTAGCCACTAGTCAATGTTAGGGCAGAACGGAGAGTGGCAAGACTGGTACAAGACAACAGAAGGGGAACAGTGCAGTGTCAGATTCCTTGCATCACCTTTCAACATCTCGTTGAGTCACGAGGCGGCCCAACGAAGTCATCTCGTGGAGTCATCTCGTGGCCCAACAAAGTACTGATGGGGAGGTCATAATAATCTGGCCACTCAGTGTATACGGTTTCCGGGGAAACATTAAAAAAAGCTGTCCATGAAGTGGCCATACTCCTTGTTGGTTGTGCTCCTACTTGCTACATTACCTGCAGACCCTTCATCTTGTAGGTGTTTTGTATGGTTTTTACTAACCACATAGTGAAGAGGTTTGGCCCCTCTTGGGTCCATGCAGGATGACAAACAGGCTGTCTATGGATCTGGAAGATCCTGTTGTCTTTAGATACATCTGAAGGACAGAGACCATGGTGGACAGCAATGTAATTTCATTATTTACATGGAATAAAGATGTCACCTTCAGAAGAAAGTGTTGGGTGATAAACCACTCGCTCTGGGAGGAAGCTTGTAAAAGGATCCTGATGCCCCAAAGTTTGGATCTCTGAAACATGTCTTCCAGAGGCTATAACCACTAATAATGAGGTTTTAAGGAGTTACTCACAGAAATAAAGTCCAGTCGCACGCCGCAAGCTTAGCTGAAAAGTATATTGCAGTACACAGGAACACACCATCCTACTGTGGATCCTTTTCACTCTGTCATATTTTCCCCAATAATGGCCTTTGTCTAATAGATGACTATTGGGTGAAACATGGCAGAGTAAAGTGGATCCATGGCAGGACGATGTGTACCTGTGTGCTGCAATAAACTGCTGTGAAGGAGCAGTAGGATATTCGAGTATGGAAGTTAATAAGGTTTTAAGGGTTAAGTTCCACAGGGAACATTTGTAGAATGGTTAGAAAGGAGGACTCGACTACGTCTATAATAGAAGAGAGAGAACCCACTTTGGAAAATACATCTTTTTAGGTTGATGGATCTTGGTACAAGCATTCATGTACTGAATAATGAGTGGGTGATTAGCCCATTTGATCTCTGATACGGGGGAGATAGCTGATACCTGCTTCCAAAGAGAGCTTATGCTTAGACCCTCAAGCCTGTCTAAGGGAAGTCTAGAACACCGTTAACCTCCAGATGAAGTGTCGATCAAATTAGAGTTAGCCAACTGCATGACCTTTTCCCAAATTTTGTGGTAAGGTTTTCTTGTCTTCAAGACCTGTGAGGGGCAACCCATCTTCAGCTTCTGCCTCTCAACCTCCATGCTGTGAAATTGAGCTTGTGTAGGCTTGTGTGAACAAACTCTCCCCGAGTTAGTAGGTTTGGTACCATTGGAAGTTGCCACATAGTATTGGTACTAAGTTCTGTGAGTGTAAACCATGGCCAGACTGGCCAGTACAGAAAGATAACAATCAGGACCACTGCTTTGGTTTTCAGTCTACTTATCAGTTTCATTGTCAGGGGTGTTGGAGGATATACATAGCCTAGGGAAAGGTTATTGTTAAATACTTTGTAAACACACTAATAGAAAAGCTAACTGTAATACAGTAAATAGTAATGTTTGAATGCTATTGCATTTACTTTGTATTTTATTTAACATTATATATTTTTATCATGTTTTATTTGGCAGTCATGTAACTGCAAAGCCTCATTCACGTCCTTTTCTTCATAGCTGGGGGTGTGTCTGTCTAGCAGGCGGTTGGACAGTGTATTACGTCACACACAGCAAGAAAGGACATTCCCCATCTGTTCCAGAAAGGAGTGCCTTTTGGGATCTTTCAATTGCTGAAAATAATTGGTGGGGGAAGTGGCAGCTAAACAAACTACGAAAGATACAGGCACCCTGTGCATTCATCAAGCGCTGATACACAGCACTCCAGCACAGATCTGCTTCCTTGCTTGGCGTAGTCAGATTGCAAAAGGAAGGAAGGAGACCTGGCAGGATCACCAGGTATTTCTCACTATACAAGGAGGCAAAAATAGAACAGGCTACAGTTACGAACCTCTACATGGATACGCAGACGCATATGAAATAATAAATACTGATGCATGCTGACGCTGAAAAACAATGACCTCTGGTCCCGAAATCATTAATGCATGAGCTTACTACACATTTTTTTTGTATACAGTATATATATTTTTTGAAAATTATCAAATTTGTTGTTTAAACTTGAGTTTTATGTTGTGTCACTTGTATAAGTCTTCATTTTAGAACGAAATATTTAACACAGGGTGCTTACATGACAAGAAGCAGCCCAGTAGCATCTGCTCACTTGTGAACTATCTCTAGTCAGAGACTCCATACAGAGACATATGAACTTGGAGAGAAGAAACATGGAGAGGGGGGTGTGTGTCTCTCCATTGATTAATTTAGCTTTCTGCGCGTTAATAGAGCTGAATAGCAGGATATTAAATTACATTCTTTAGTAAGCAAACCAACTGCACCCATCGACTCTAGAGCACCCCCTGCTGGTTGAACATGCCAAATATGAAATAGTTATATACAGTGTTTTATTTACAGAAGGAAAGAAAGGTAGGGGACTTTTAGCCTGCTTAATGTTTTGTACAGGATTATTGAACAGTGTTGATTGACGTTTGCTTCTGACATGCAATTGTGAAGCATTTTAGAAACATCTCAAATGCTTAAATTTTGAATTAAATCTTATGGAGCCTTTTTCCTTTGAGTTTTGTGTTTCTTTTGCCAAGCATCATGTTGCTTTACTACAGTATAAATGCAATATGAAAGCATAGTAAAAGCATCTCACCTTATATACAACCCATTTTTACCTAAAAGGTTAACTATATGCTTGACTTCTTCTGAGTCTGAGCCATATGTAAATAAAATCAATACAATTACAACAAAATCTGAATAAAATGTTTCACATTTTTTAAAATATTGTTTATCCCTATAATTATAATTAGGGATGCACTGATACAGTGCGGATACTTGACATTTTCATGAGAACTACCAGGGTTGCAGCGGTTGCAGCTGTGACCTGGCTCTGGCGCTCCACCAATGTCCTGAAATCATTAGTCTGTATTGTTTTAGAAAAACTGTCACATGACAATAAACAAAAATGTAT